GTGTCTGATTTGGGGGGACCCAAACTGAGAGCTCTGCCCATTCCAAAACCTTGTTGGGGGTCCATAGTGTCCTGGACGGAAGCACAGCCCCTACCACACAGCATTGTGGCTACAGAACTGAGGGGTCCTTCGAGGTCACCACAGAGCCTGTCTCATTCACCCCAGAATCCCAGGCACCCTGGCACACATATGGCACTTGGTAAGTGCAGAGCCAATGCCCCAAAATAGGTTGTTCCTACCCCTGCATCAGAGGTTGGAGAAAAACCTTGGTCTTTTCAACAACTCAGGAAAGTCCTTTTGTACTTTACAAAAGTTAATAAAATAACATTAAGAGTAACTAAAAGACATTTTTTAAGGAGGCCCCTCTTGGGTACCTCTTGGGCTAGAGGTGTGGCTCAATTTGTAGAGTGCCTGCCTAGAAAACTGGGGACCCTGAGTTCAAACCCCAGTACGACCAAACAACCCCAAAACAAACAAACAAAAATGCCCCCGTCTTCCATGAGGCCCATGCCTTCTCTGCCTCTCTGTTTTCCTTTTGGAAAGAACCCAGCCTGTTCACCTGTGGGTGCTGGCCCTGCCATATTGGGTGAGACTCACTCTTCCAACTCCCTCCCACCCCCTCTCTCCCTTTTGGTTCTTGGTCTCTGTGCTTCCTCATCAAGGAACTACAACAGAGAACGAGATGGAAGAAATCAAAACAAGTAGAGCCAATTGTGTGGCTGTGTTGTCTTTACCTCTCTTCCTCCCAGGCCTTGAAGCTGGAGGTTGCAAACTACCCAGCTATGAGCCAAGGGTAATGGACAGTGTTGTTTCTGGAAATCTACTTCTGTGTTTGTAAGATTGACAATAAGTTAAACTCAACATATTAAACATAAAAATCCATAAAAATTTTTCAAGATTGAAAAATTAAGAATTTGACAACAGGAGCCACATCTGGCTGAGGTGGGATTAGGTGCCTCCTAGTAATGGGACCCACAGCCCCAGGTGCTGCCGTCCCCACCCTTTGCCTCCTACTCTGAGGCCCCCAACAGTGGCCATTTCTGATCACAATATGAGAAGTTCCTTTGCTCTTTGATTCTTGCCTGCCCTGTGGGTCAGGGTTAGCTGGCTACACCATACTTAAGCACTTAAAAAACAAGTTCCAGCTGCTGTGAGTGTTCCTTGTGTATGTAAGCACCTCCAGCAAGAGGTCAAGCTTCCTACTCTTACACCATCATGCCTGCAAGAATGTCCTCTTGATGCCAATGATGATGTAATGATACACAAGTAACCAGTAGCAGTCAAGGCACAAATGCCTGTCTGTGCCCACAGAGGCCTTTTATTTTTATTATTATTTGGAATCATTTACCTGAATAAAAGCTTTTTAAATACGCAAAGGAGAGCTAGCCTCTGAAAAATCAGTCACTGAAAGACCTATCGTGTTCTTCAAAAAGAGAGAGGGACACAACAGCAGGAATGGGAGACATGCAGAAACGGAGAATGGAAGAACCGAAACAGTAAATCTGCATAAATCGATTCTAAAAAAATAGCAACGATGATGACTAAGAGCAGGTAACTGGCTTTAAAACATTCCAAGACTTCGTGTCATTTGTAAAAAGGATAAAGACGGAGATGAATTCTAAACTCAGTGAGGCTTGCTGTCAACTGCATGTGCTACATTTGTAAAGGAATCCATGAGAGAGACAGAATTAGAAGACTGTAGGTAATGGAATCCAATGAAAGAGAAGGAAAGAGGGGGAGAGAGAGTGAGAGAGAGAGAGGTGCAGGAGGGGAGGGAGGAAAGGAGGGAATGAGAGGATGGGCGAAGTGGGCAGGGGGAGGTGACTAGTGAGAGAGAACAGGGAATAAAGAAAATACAATCCAACAGAAAACAGGGACAGAGGCATTTGCTGAATATCTTAAAAGTCAGGGTAAATAACATAAAATAAGAAAGTAGAAAGAAACCCAAGACTCTGAATAAACACAAATGGGCTAAACACATCTGTCAGAAGATAAAGAAAGCAGACTGGATTCTTTGAATTACAAGAGATTTGCCTAAAATATAAGGACATCACATTTTTAAAGTCAAGATACAGAAAAATTATTTTTAAAAATCCAACTGGTAGGGCTATATTAATATTAGATTAATTTTTAAGTAAGAGCATTATTAGGAGGATTCCTGCATAATATTAAAGGAAGAATTCACCAGAAAGAAATAAAAGTTGTAACTTTTAACTCACCTTACAATCATAATCTAAACTTTACTTGAAGTTAAAAATGACACCACTACAAAGAGAAATAGACAAATTCCCCAAACTTATTTTCATCATTAGACAGAACAAAAATTAGGAGAAAGCATAGATTTGGGCAATATAATTAACAAGGTTGAGCTACAAATCAACCAATACAGAATATTGATACTTGCTGGGCATAGTGATGCACTCCTTTAATCCCAGCACTGGGGAGGTGAAGGCAGGAGAATCCTGAGTTTGAGGTCAGCCATGGCCACATAGTAAGGCCCTGTCTCAAAAAAAATTTAAAAATTAGGGCTGGCAGAAAGGCTTAAGTGGTAGAGTGCCTGCCTTGCAAGTGCAAGACCTGAGTACTGCCAAATAATTCTTAAATTAAAATTAAAAAAGAATCCTGATTCCTGAACATTTAGAAAGTCTACATCTTCTTCAAACACAAGGCATCAGTTATAAAAAGATGACCAGTTAGTTGGTCACAAAATAAATCACAACAAATTCCAAAGAATCCATATAACATAGACCACAGGGAAAAGCAAAAAAAAAGTAAAGGATAACTTCCATGCATACATATCACAAGAGTTTCTAATGTCTTTTTAATTATCATAGGAGAAATAGTGGGTATTCCTGAGGCTTACTCTCAAAGGAGGGATAATTTTTATAATAGACAAAAATTTAGGGCTGGTGGAGTGGCTCAAGTGGTAGAGTGCCTGCCTAGCAAGTGTGAGGCCCTGAGTTCAATCCCCAGCATAACCAGAAAGAAAGAAAATATTCAGAACTAAATGAAAATTCCATACATCAAAACCTGTGGGAAGGGACTTAAGTTATTTAAAAGATATTTTTATAGCCTCTAATGTTTCTGTCAGAAAAGGAGCTGAAGATGTGGCTCAGTGTTAGAGCTCTTGCACACACAAGGCACTGGGTTCAATACTCAGCACCAGAAGAAAGGAGAGAGAGGGAGACAGAAGGAGGGAGGGAGGAAGAAAAGACTGAATATTAATGTCCTGTGCACCAATCTTAATAATGTAGAAAATAACAAAGCAAACCCAAAGTATGTAGAAGGGAGGAAGTAATAATTATAGCACCCAATAAAATATAAAACAAACTCTATATAAAATATAGAATAAACTCTCTTTATGAAATAGAATTTTAACAAGACACAAAATTAGGTTCTTTTAAAACCTTTTAGAGTGATGATAGCAACAGAAGAGGCAGGTAGTGAAGTAGTAGAGAGCATGGGTTCTGGAGCTGCCTGCCTGGCTAGAATTCCAAGTCTGCCCTTAACCAGCACTTGGCCTTGGGAATCTTGTGGTTGGTATTGGTGACACCACAGCTCAAACCCTGGACCATGAGCCCCAGGGCCTATGCACTAGTTACCCTTACAACAAGACTTCCAAGCTGTGTACTGTGACCAGAGTCTCATCTGCCCCTAATGAAAATGGGTATCACTGGGCTGGAGGTGTGGCTTAAATGATAGAACGCCTGCCTACCAAGTATGAAGCCCTGAGTTCAAACCCTGTTACCATTAAAAACAAAAAAAGAAAGATATTATTATCCCTGTTTTTAAGAAGGGCAAATGAAGGTTTGCAGGATGTATGTATTTTCTCCGTGTCATGAAAATATCAAGTGTTGGAGCTGATTTGAGAACAGTCCTGCACACCTCCAAAGTCTGTCCTCTCATCCATGAGAGAAAAGGGAAATCCTGCTGTCTACTTCAATACAGTGATGCTCAGGAATGCTTTTACCAAACACCCAACTTTAGGAAGTCTTCTGCTTTAAGGTCAAATGTAAAATAGAGGAGGACAAATGCCACTTGCACATGTCTAGCAGATCCTCCTCCTAATAATGATAACCTACCAGTTGAGATTAAGAGCTTGGGAATCAGACATAATATGACTAATTGCTGGTAGTTATTAGACATTATGGATCAGACACAGTACTGAGGTCTTTCAAAACTCACAATGTCCCTTTTCACAGGTTTAGTTATTGCCCAATAATGCAGACCAAGACTCTCAGGTGCAAAGAGTTGCATTCAAATGGCTACAAATTGGCAGAGGCAGGATTCCAACACAGGCCACCTGATGCCAGAGCAGCCAATTCTATCTTATTCTTAAACTGCTGGACCCCAAATTGCTCATCCATCAATTACAGATGACAAGACCCTTCCCTGAACTGTACAGAGGAAATGAGACAAGGCAGGTCAAGCCAACTGCAGTGCAGTATCTGGCACGGTAGAGGTAAAGATGAGGAGGAGGAGGAGAAGAGGAGGAAGAGGAGAAGGAGGAGGAGTCTGCAATGATGACCGGTAAAAGATATAGGACACTGTGCACCAGAAAAACTCACTGTACAAAGGCCTCAAAGACACCTTCCCATGTTGTTCACACAGATTCTCATGTGGACAGATCATCTGTGCTGTATGTGAAAGTTTATTTTCAAAATCAAAATCACAGCATTTCTCATTATATGAAGATATGAAGAAAGTATTCAAAAGAATGTGACAAATAAAACTGTAGGAAAGTGAGGGGAAAAAAGGCTCCCATTACCAGACGACAGTTAGTCTAGCCTTGAACTTAACTTTCCAGAATGCTTGAAATCTATGTGATCGCAGCATAAAAGACCAATTAATCAGGCTTGTTTGTGCTCCATGTGTGAGTCACTGTCGCCATCTACAGGTTAGATGTGGGACATGCACTGCTGCCCAATCACTAATTCCAGGAACATAATCCTGCTGAGAAAATACACTTGTTCATGGCGTATAGACAATGAAAACCATACCTGAAGGAGCAGCTCTTTCTCCACCACCTCTTCTGTCTTGCTGATGAGACGCTTTTGCAGGGTTTGAATTTTCTGTATCAGTTCGAAGGTACTGGGGTCACTGGCCTGTGCAAGAGGAACGACAACCAGCACAGATATCATCAGTTTCAATGCACCAAAGTCCTGCATACAATATTTTTTGCTAAAATCTACTAGAAACCATGTATGGTGGCCCATGCCTGTAATCCCAGCTTCTCCGGAGGTGGAGATTGGTAGGATACAAGGCCATACAAGGCAAAAACTTAGTGAGACTCCATCTCAACCAGTAAGACAGGCCTACTGGCATGTGCCTGGGAGGCATAAACAGGATGATGGCGGTCTGAGGCCAGTCTGGCCAAAAATCAAGAGACCCTATCTGAAAAATACCTAAGCAAAAAGGGCTGGACTTACGGCTCAAGTGGTAGAGTGCCTGTCTCGCAAATGCAAGGCCCAATGCAGAAAAAACAATTGCAAATCTGCAAACTCAGAACATAGAGAATTAAATTCAGTCTGCAGTTTTTCTAATGTCTTATCTGTGGATCTAGATAGAAAGTGAATTTATCCCATCAGTAGGAATAATAATAATGACAGCTACTGTGTGTGATACCTGATTCTTCGCCACTGTCCAGACTCTATGCTGTGTGTCTTTCATACAATATCGTATTTTAGCTGTTCAACAGCCTATGAGACAATACTCATTGTCCCTCTTCACAAATAAGACAACTCAGGCTCGGAGAAGTTAAGTCATTTGCCCCAACTGGGAAGGGTCAGAGCTGGATTCAAGCATCCACGTGCCCAGCTCCAGAGGCAGTGGATCTTCTTACAATGCCAGAGGCTTTCCCTACCACCTCTGGTTTCCACAAGAATGAGAAGGGTTCCCTAATTTCCTCCACCTTAGGATTCTCCTTTGGTCACTGTCAACCAGAAGATTCACTACAGCCCACGAAGGAGAAGATTTCCAGGACAGGGACGTCCACTAATAATCGGAAGCAGGATACAGCCATGGCCTTTCACACTTCACACTTCAGTGGAGTCATCAACCTGTAAAGCCCTCATGTTCCCTTCCACTGCTGTCCGTGTACAATTCAAGCAAGGGCTGTGGCTATAAACTGGTCACGTCTCCAGACTTGGAGCCAAAGCTTCACTTTCAACTGTCCTGACGCTTGGAATTAAACTAGAAACTGCATATTTTCAGCTGCAACCAGATGCTCTATTTTCTAACTTTTTAATAGAAATTGACAAGGAATTGGAAACTTGAAAGATCTGCTGGAAGGCACATGGAATACCTGAATGTGACGGTTAAAGGGCTTAAAATCATTGACGTCACTCCCCCAGACAGATCCATATTATCTGTGGGTTAACAAATTACCCAGCTCTTGGCATTTGAAGAGACATAAGTGAGGGTCTGACTTTGCTAAAGAAACACTAAGCAGTGCCAACTGATACCCATATACTGGGACTAAACTTGGCACATGTCCACTTGGCAACATGGGATGTTGTTAAAATTCAGGCCTCGTGTTTACATAACAATTTATAATGCATTAGTGTTCATGCTTTCTTCATTAAAAAGGAGAAAAATGAAAATCTACTTGGCTGATTTTCCACTTTGCACCAATAGTTCTTATCTCATCAACGTATCTCTCAACACCCTAACTGTTCGCTTAGCTGGAGCCCCTCTTGGCAGCTGTGTTGTTAGCTATGACTAAAGGAGAGGCCATCCTTTTCTTGAGTAAGCAGGGCTTGACTGTTGTCTGCAGTGCTGGTGGAAATGCCTATCAGGAAGTCCAAGAATGCAAAACGAAGGTGAGTATCCATCCCCTACCTACAGGACTTTTGCTATGCGCCAGATATTAAGAGGAAGGGTTTGACTAACACTAGCTTAGTCCTTCGTAAAGGCTAGTTCACAAAAGCAGATTTCCTGCACTAAATAAAAGGATGCAAAGACCAATTAAAAGATGGCTAAAATGATGGTGAACAACAACTTAATTCTACAGACCACGAAAGGATAACTGGTGGACCAAAAAAACTACTAAACAAGAAAAATAAATGTCCATTGCAAAAGCAGTTCATAGCTTTCCTTAGGTCTTTTGGACAGAAAGGATTTTGTCCAAGACTTTTAAAACAAAAAGATCCATGTGGTCCTGGAACAACCCAATTTCCATTTGATCCAGTCTTCCATTCTAGGTGACCATTTGCACATTAAATTAATAAGTGGTTCTCATTGTGCTTTAGGTTAGAAGCCTCAAGCAGGTGGAACAGAGACTTGGGGATGGGAAGGAAGCTGTGTCCAACGTTACCTCAAGTTTCCTCCATCTGTGCACGTTCATGGGGTTCTCCAGCTCCTCCTCCAGGGCTCTGCACCGTGTCCTCTCCTTCAAGAATTCTCTTTGCACATGGAAAAGCTCCTGCCTGAATAAGACAAACTTTATTTGCCAAGAAATTCTCCACCCACTTTCAAGTTAGGATTCAAGATTTGAAAAATCCTATCTTTAAGTGGTACACACATGCTACATGGGATATAAAAAGTTGGAGTTAGGGGGAGTTTTGTGAACACTGAGACCAACCTCTGAAATCTGGGCAGAACACAAATGATAGCAATTCCAATAGAGCTAAAAAAAAAATTGCCTTTGCTTGAAGAGGAAGAAAAAAAGTAGCCAGCTTCATGATCTTGATTCTGAAGGTGAATTATGAGCTCATTTTTCAGTGTTTCTAAATGTTTCTACAACAGCCCATGTTGCATACATGGCAACTGACTCCAAGCTACAGAGGTGTGTGTGACAACCCAGCACCAATGAGGGCAGAGCACCTCCACCCTCACTCCACACTGGAATCACCAGGAGGGGCTCAAAGCATCCCTTTGCCTGGACCCAATCCCCACAGGGGATCTGGCATCAGGCCGGGACTTCATAGGTTTTTAAATTCTGCTGGTTATTCTGACATGTGGCCAGGGATGAGACACATTGAATTGGGAGTGGTGAGGATATTTTACCTTGGGCCCCACAACTACTGCGCACAGATGGCTGAAAAGGTCCTGAAGCACTCCCTCCATATACTTTTTAAATCCCATGCAGCTCTAGTTAATAGGTAATATGCCACAGCTGTCTTCAATGTCCTGTGAACTGACTGCCACCCTATCAAGCAGAAACCTCGGCTGGGCGGTGGAGAAGAGGTGAGTGTGTGCGCTGACTCCAGTGATAAAGACATCACTATTGGTCCTCGTCGGCTGTGGGTGTGCTGATTACTAATACTGAGCCGTCTCTTTTACTTAATTGCTTCATTTAAACCAATAATACAACTTCCCCTCATTAGCAAGACAAACCATTAGAATTAACTGCACGATGTTCACTCAACAGGGAGTTCAGAACGAGCTGCTTAGAATTAAAAGCATATTTTAACACTACGATGTCTAGAGTACCATTGGAAAAGGAAGGCAAGAGTGTTAGCTATCATACTCAAGGCTTACTTTGCACGAGACTTTCTGCTAGGCACATTACATTTGTCTTCATATTTAATTGTAATTAAATATGAAATATTAAATATTACATTTGTTTTCATATTTAATTGTAATTAAAAGTCCAAAGCTCAGTGCTTTGCCCAAGGTCACAGAGCCTGTAGGTGGCAAGCCTGCTCACCTCTGATGTATGTCATAAAAAGAATTCATGACTGACAAGTTAGTCCTGACCCTGAAAATCATCCAGTAGCTACTTAAAATGAACCCATTGGTCTCCAAAGTGACAATGATAGTGTCTCAGGGTAGTAAAGTTATGAGTGACTTTCTAATCCCTTCTGTATTTTTCTCTGCAGTTCTTGCCTTTTTGTATAATTAATGTGTACTAATTTCTTTATCTGAAATACAAGCAATTCCAAAAAAAAAAAGAAAAAGGTCTCAATTGATCTATCCTTGCTAATGGCAAACTCCTGAATGTAGCCAGTGCATGAAAACATCACAACTGTCTCCTCACCCAATTAATTTGATCCAAACTGTGTCCTTATCTGAAAGTGGTCAAGGACCACTGTTCTACAAGTCTTTGGGGAATAAGGAGAGCTACTGAGAAAATACCCAGCTGCCTATTTGGTTTCCTGCAATTGCCTTTATAAAACACGCTCATGTTTTCCCACAGGGAAAGTAGATCTTCTGTAATGCAAGATTTAAAGAAAGAAGAGGTGTACTAAGCTACAGCAAAGGCTGCCCAAGATAAATCAAGAGTGAGATGGAAAATGTGGCTGCTTTCTAAGGAAACAGATTTTCAGATAGTGATAGAATTAAATTTTCCACCTCTTTTCATCCTATAGATAATCCCAGAAAAAGTTGTGCAAATGTTACCAGGATGGAATTTAAATATTGATGCTCCATCCTTTGCACACTGCTCTCTTAAAGAAATTCCAGAGAACTCACTGGCGGGGGAAGAAAATTTTCTGAGTTGTAACTAGTTTGTGTTTGTGATTTGACTTGAAATTTCCTTTTTAAGATCCAGCATTGTATTTTAATAACCTTTTTGCACTCCCTCATAACCCAGCCCCCAGAATGAATCAAGTTTATTTTTGCAGCATACATAGCATGGATACAGTGTAGATGTTATGAAAAGTTGTTCTCATTGTCCATGGACGACTTCATCTTGTAAAATCTGTTTCATACAATTCAATAAAGACCTTCCACGACCAACACCAGGTCATTTAATGGACCTTGGTACACCCAGTCCTGAGGCTCTCCTATTACCTGAGCTCCTCCACATTAGCCACACTCCTGGCAAGAATCCTCTTTTCCCGGCGAAGCTTCTTGATCTCCAGTTTGAGAATTCTCATGTCCTCCACCCTCTGGTTGTACTGGCTCTCACCCTTATTCAGCACGGACTGCTGGATCTTGATCTTCTCATAGAGCAAAGCCAACTCATCATTGCGCCGGACAAGTTGGGACCCCAGGATGTCTCTCTCACTGATGACCTAGAAAGGTGGGGAAGGGCATGGAAAGAGAAACCAACACACAATAAATAATGTATTTTATTTTCACATTTTTTGAGACACTTGCACATTGATGTTTATTGCAGCCAAGCTATGGAAACAGCCCAGATGTCTTACAACTGATGAATGGATTAAGAAAATGTGGTATATTTACACAATGGAGTTTTATTCAGCCGTAATGAAGAATGAAGTTATGTCGTTGGCAAGTAGTTAAATAGAATTGGAGATATCATGTTAAGTGACGTAAGCTAGGTTCAGAAAGAAAGAGTCACATGTTTTCTCTCAGATGTAGAATATAGATCCAAAAGATAAATGTATACACAAAACCAAACATGATCATATATCCATTTGTATATAAAACATATTTGTAACAGTGGAAGTACTCTATGGAACTCGGAGAGAAGAGGGAAAGGAAAAGAGAGTGATAGAGAATCAACAATATCAAAACACACCGCATCTGTGCAGGTAGATGACAAAACTATATGTACTGAAAACTGATGAATAATGGGGGCTGGGAGGGAAAGGGAGAGTAATGGAAGGGGTTGAACTGACCAAAGTACAGTATATTCACAGCTGGGATACATTGAGAAATACTTTGAACACTGACTTTGGAATTAAAAATGAGAGACAGAATTGTAAAATAGGTGCAGTGGGGAGTACTTATTGGAGGGGAAAGGTGAATGGAGGAGACAGAGGTGAGGGAATATGGTTGATGGATTTCATACACATATATGAAATAGAATAATGAAACCTCCAAAAAAGAATTTGGAAAACATTTTTTTAAAAAGCCTCTTGAAAAGATAAATAGGCTATTGGACAGTCAAAAAAATCCATTTTATTAGCAGTTATCCAATAATTCAATAACTCTTGGCCCATGGGTATGCCATTTTGTTTGTTTGTTCCAACCCATTTTTTAATGTTTAAATTTGAATGGTTTTCTAGTAGACCTGGTCTCACCAAGTCCGTACATCTCTTACTGTCCTGCCCTGGCCAACTCCCCCTGCCAGGTCCTTGAAAACATTTAAGTATCTAATCCCCAAATTATGCACTTGAGTTTCAATCTCTTGAATCATGCAGTTATATGTGAGTAGTTACATGTGCACGTTAGAATGTAAGCTCCCTGAAAATAGGGACCTTACTGTCCTGTTGGCCAATGTGTCCTCGTGCCTTGAGGAGTGACCAATGCCTGGGAAGTGTTCATAAATATGAATGGAATAAGTGAGTGACTATTTCATAATTAATCTACACAAGGTAGGTTTCTTCCAAAAGGGCTTGGCGGCGGGGCTTAGGGAGGACAGAGGATTCCTGACAAGTGGAATTGAGCTGGTGTGACAAGAATGTGGAGAAGAGGTTCTACCTGGTCTAATTCCTTCTTCTGCCTCAACCTCTCTCCATCAGCCTCAGAAATGATTCGCAGGAGCTTCCTCTCTTCGGCCTCTTGCTTTTCAATAAAGTGTTTGGTCTCCAGAGCTTGTTGTCTCAGCTTCTGCAGCTCAGCCTAACAAAGAGCGAAAAATTCGACACATTTCATTCAGCTGTGGCATAAATGGGACCATAGGGCCGGGATTTAGCTGTGCAGTGTGCTTCTATGCTTTTCTGTGATGTTTCATTTAACACGGTTTGATCACTCTCACAAACCAAAGAAGCTCACAGGGCGCACACACACACACACACACACACACACGTGCACAGGCCCCAGCAAAAGGATCAGCGATGCCTTTATAGTGATCATGTGCCCCTAGGGATTTCTCTCACTTTTCAGTGTGGGTAGCAGGGGCTTCCTTGGCATTCACCATTCGGCATCATTTCCTCTCTTACCAGGAAAATTTACTAAGAATGGTACAGAGAAGATGTAGGGTGAGAACAGTGGAGACCTCTGCAGGTACCAGCTCCTGTACCAGTCCTAACATACCAGTACATTCACTGCCAAGGGAAAGCCCCTTGCAAGAAAAAGACTAAATTAGTTGAAGATAATGTGTAATTCTCTACCTAACAGAACATCCTGCTGGGACAGAAGGGACTTCATGGTATACAAATATGTATAGATCCCATATACCTGGACTTCGGTCCAGATGAGAGGATCAGATATACAAATATTATGCACACATCAAGTCCAGGACATGATTTTCAGTATCTTTTTTTATCATGCAGAGAGCAAAGAGGTGTTACAGACAGGAGTCACCACGTATGCTTTCTCAGAGAGCTCACACCTTAGTCTGGCTGTGAGGTTACATGGAAAGGAAAATTCCTCCCATCAGAGTGCACATCCATTTATATTCCACAAGTAGATTTGTGACTTAAAACATCCTAGGCATGATTCTACACATTGCAAAACTCTTATTCCCACTTTATAAATGCAATTAGAGACAACAAAAAGTGAATAGCTGCCCAAGGTCACTGAATTCATAAGGAGCAGAGTTGAGATTCCAACACAGACCTTTTGATGAATCCTTTCCTTTCTCTACTATCCCTACCCAATAGCTCCAAATCAAATACAGATGAGTCAGACAGGTTCACCATCCATTGGAGATGATGGCTACAGCCACAAACAGTAGTTTCTACTTCTGCCTGGAGTCAAGGAAAAGAACAAGTCAGGGACTTGGCAGCTGACAAATATTGCCCAAATTGGGGGAGGAGGGAGGCAACTGATGGAGAAAGACATTCAATGGTCAGGCTGTGTGTGCCAAGGCAGCACAGCGCTCCCAGGTTGGTGCATTTGAATACCAGGTATGAAATTAAATAGCTGTGCAGGACTGCGAAGGACCACTTGTGCCATGAACTGTAGAAAGTATGCAACAGGGAGCTAAAGTTACCTATGTTAAAGGAAAGAAGAACATGTCTTTGAGAGGTTCCATGCCAAGCTGAGAAGGACAAGTGGATCACTGACCAGGTAGCACAAAAGAAATGAATGAAGAGGAAAAGCTCATTTACCCATGCCTGAAATCATAAGGGAAGTGACAAGATGATATTAATATATCAATGGCTAGAAGTTTTTCAAATTATGGTGAAAGATTTATAATTTTTTTCCTTCAAGGAAGTATCAGGACCCCCCCAAATACCCACCTACCCAGAAATGTCATCAAGATGATAGAAATTTCCATACTTGCGATTGTCTATGGACCAACCCAACTTAGGTCAAGGTCTACTTCCAACCCATGAAGACCAAAAGTCTTGAAATCTATACCTCAGACTTCCTGAAATGACAGGAGATACTGTGCACCTAGTAATAAATGTGTAGTGTCACAAATTAAATGCAACCAGCTGCTATAAAACCAAGGGTTTCTTTTATGACAGTTTGTTTACTCATGAAATATGTTTTGGTTTGAGGATAAGCAAAAGGAAATACTTACCTAGAAAAGATCTAGTCTAGTATTTACCACTTAGGGGGATTGTCTGTTAGGAAAGGGTGAAGAATCAGCCTTCCTGCTTCTGTAATCATTTAAGGTGACAACAAAGACAGCAATAAAAGATCTGTTTGGCTGGTGCTTTCTTTAAGAAAACTTTTTATTTTCCCATATCTGCAAGGCTCACTTCTCCACTCCTAAATGCCAAGCTCTCATCAGAATCCATCAGCAGAACAAAATGAAACCCCTGTTATATTAAAATGCAATCAGTGGTGTGTAAAAGTATCTGTCTGAAATGTAAAACCGTTCGTGCGTTTGGCATTGCTGGGTGCTTTTTTCATAATATATCAAAATTCTGAGTGGTCTCCTTATGTCATAAATTTATGGACTGTAAATAAGATGTGGCTTTAGATGCTGGCAGCAAATGTTAACATCAACAAAATACCTTGGGTCTAATACATTTAGCAGTTATAAATCTGAGCCATCTCACCCGAGAAGGATGGTGGCCACTGCTGTGCACCCGAAAGTCCATCAAGCAACCATGTAGGTGTGACCTGAGGTTTTTGCATGTGTCGAAGGCTACTGATGGCATGAGGTTGGAATGGCAGGGTACACCCTTTAGTCCTTGCCCCAATGGTTATATAATTTTGTAATTGTTGTTTATGGACAATATATCATCTTTTGAGGTTCTAGGCATAAATCATATCTCAAGTGCCATATTTAGTCTCACCTGCTCATATATGAACCACCTGAAGTCTTCAGTCACAAGAGTAATTAGGCTTTTTCTCTCCTCTCTCATGGATGACTCCCCATTCATGTCATGCTACAGAGTCCACTAAGTGAAAGGACATGGTGCCCTGAAGCCAGTCCCTAATGGGATGCTGGGCTCTGGACATACAGAACTTGCTGCTGAATTATTCACCAAGAATCAAAGTGCTGTCAGAGAGATGTGGGTTATTTGGGAAGTGACGAGACAGACTCGGGGGCTTGTTAGGACTGGAAGGCAGACACTTCAAACAAGGTGACTGCTTCAGTGCTGATGAAACAAGACTGGGACAGAATGGGCAGAGGAATGCAGATGCAGCCATGTCTCCATAGGACTATTGACATTCTGTGCTAGCCATAATGCACTGACAATGTCTAGGATGCTGAAGAGACAGTAGAGTCTGGTAGCAACTGAAAAAGGAAAAGAAACATGGAAGGTGCAGGATTTTTTGGTTGAGGGAGGTAAATGAGAATGACAACACCTACTATAACAATTGTTTGTCTACAGACTTGGAGAAGTAGTAAATTGGGTTGTTCTGTGAAAAGGCATCTCATAGTCTACCAAGTGGGCAAGGGCTTGCCCCTTCAGCAGGGATTATGTATCCATATGGCTTTGTAGAATAATAAGATAAATGTCTCTTGAAACAAAGTGACTAGGAAATCTTCCCATTCCTCCAAGGTTTTGGTGTGAAAACTTCAGATGCATGAAATCCAGAGACCTGTGTGGAATGCAATTCAAATTCTTAGCCTAAAAAAGAAAAGAGGCTGAAACTCAACATTTTGAGCTGTCATATTTTTCTAAAGAATGTCAAACAGGCTTAATGATAGGCCAAGATTATCCAGTCGGAGCACCGTTGCAAGTCACCCTTGGATAACCTCAAATAATAAATCGAACAAGCAGGCATCTTTTCTCTGTTCTTCATTCTTGTCTTAATGGGAAATGCTGGGAGAAAAAGCATCTGAGTTGCACAGCAAGTGGAATCATCTTCCTATAATCAACGACCCAAAGCCATCCAGGCCTGAGACTCCCCTTTTGTCCATAGCAGAAGCCTTTTAATCACCCTCATGTCCACCAGCCATCAACTCTGCTGGCCTAGGGACACTTCTGCCCTTTATTTCATTTTAACATCATACTTCTTTGGGGCTACATGTGTAGATGCCCAATGCTGGAGGCATCATTGGAACAAATATTAACTAGCATCAAACTCTAAGGAACTTGGAATAATGGATCCTTTGTATAGGACACTGTTTATTCTAGAGCAGGACTTTGTAGAAAGCAATTAGTTCCACCATGGACAGTGTATGGGGTAACAGTTAATCTTTTGAACAGAGAATCACTTGGGAAATAGAGATGAAAATCAATGTTATCTTCCAAGAGAAAGGGATTGTGCACCAGATGGATTACACTGAAGCCTTGCTAACATGGTCCATGAGGCCCCTGGTGGAGCAGTGTTTATGAGATTCTTCCAATTCATTCAGCAATAAATAAATAAGCCCATCGCACAACAGGCTCCAGAGTGAACAAACTACCCCCCATAAAGTGCTCTCAAACAAAAGGAACAAGGGCAAAGATGCTCTTATACATAGATTTTAGAAAAAATATTTATAAAGCTTTATGTATAAATAAGTTTGAACGCAGAGTTTTCTATTTTTTCTGTCATAAGCTGGCATGCAGGAGATGAAAGTCACAGGTAAACATACCAATTACTATGTCTTTTTTGTAAAGGAATGTTTGTTACAGCTTAGTCTTTCTCAAGCCAATGTGCCTTAAATTTAATTAACTAATTTAATGCAGTAGTTCTGGTTCCATGAAAACCTGTCATTAAATTGCTAAGCCCATTATTAAATTGAGAGTGCATATTTCAATCTAGGGCATCTCAGAATCAAGCATTAAACCTGTCCAACGCCAGGTACACATTTTCAAGACAGGGATTATCTTCAAAGCTACTATGTGCAGAAACTGTGGCCCCCAGTCTCTGATTTATTGTAAACAGTTCCCATAAGTGGCTCTTGATCCCCACAAATATTTTTATAAACATTTTCAAAATAAAAGTGTCATTCTTTTAGAAGTTCCTTTTTGAATTCTTGGGGCACATGAAGTAGAAGAAAATCTACTGGGCCATAGGGGAATAGAAAAGATGCCATGATTGGTGATTGTGTAGTAAAACATGTTTACATGATTTCAAATGGTATAATTATTGGGTAGGTATTTTTGGAAAAAGTTTATTTTATGTTAGTAGATACAGAATGTTCTAAACTACTAGGTTTAAAAGGACCTGTGGAGGTGAATGTAATAGTATACACCTGTAATCACAGTAAGCACTAAGGACACAGAGGCAGAAGGATTGTGAGTTTGAGGCCAACCTGGGCTACACAGTAAGACCATGTCTCCAAAAAAACAAGGGCTGGGGACATAGCTCAATGGTAGAGCACTTGCCTAGCATAAGCAACATCCTGGATTCATCCCCAGCACTGAAAAAATAAACAAATGAATAGGTATGTCTTAGTAAGATCTAGAGAGACAGAGGAGATCACTTGGAGAAGCCACTGCAAAGGTCTTCAGCCCACAGTGGTAAAGTGAACCTGGAGAAAGCTCTGATGGCCAGTGTCTAGTGATAGTGTAGGCAGAAAAGTCACATGCACACAAAGGAACAATGTCCAGGAGCAGAGAGACAAAGTGTCACCTTACAGAAGGCCTAGGGAGGAGTTTGGGACGGTTGGGTGTGAGCCCAGTGAATTTGGGCTGTAAATGCAAAAAGATGGAAGGGAGCCTGCAGGCTCAAGGACTTCCTGGGCACTGCCCATCTGCCAGGCTCTCTGGAGTTGATGCATGGCAGCCAGCATAAATGTGTTGGTGCTATGCATCTCACCACTCCCTCCCCTACTCTACTGGGGGCCCTACCTGTAAGGAACCCTGACCTAGAAACAGGTCATACTCCTGGTGCCTGGTGTGGGTGGGTGTGGAAAGCTATTAAGACCACACACAGCAGCCTCCACTGCTCTCTCTACCCCTTTCTGCCTCCATGGAGACAGAGGCTGCCTCCTGGACCAGAGGGCTGCTGGCCAGGGCTTCTACTGTAAGGCCTGTACCTTCAGCGTTTCCTTCTCCTTTTCTATCCGCTGCTGTTCCAGGTGCAGCTTCACAAGGGCAGACTCTTTGGCAGAGATCTCTTCTTTCAGCTGATCTACCTGATGGGTCATGATCTTTAATTTTCTCTTCATTTCCGTTATCTCATCCTTACAAAATGAAAGGAGAAACGTTTGAGAGTGAATTAAACAGATGTTATCATCCCTATGGGAATTCAGCATGCATTTAAGAGGCTTTTAAGGGAAGCGCTCTCAAAACAAGTCTCTTGACCAATTATCACTGAGCAATTCTTGTCTCCTGTGCCCGTCAACCTCAAAGTAATTACTAGCAATAACAGAAAATAGTCACACACGCACGCACACACATACACTTTGTTCCTGGTTTTACTTAAAGGAACTGGAAGCACAGAAAACATTGCGACTAAAAGATTTCAAAGCCAGGTTCTGCGATTTAAATAAGAGGGTGCTGCTGCCTTCTGAGACTCGGGAGTGAGTAGCAGTTTTAAAAACCACAAAGAGGAGAATAGAAATTCTGTATAATAATTAAAAGTAGGACCAGGATCCCCATTAAGTGGTGTCCTTTCCATTTCAAACAACCTGACAGTTCTGCATTAGTTGATCGTTTTCAGATGAATTGCAGATTTCCTTCTTGATTGGATTCTAAATCCCACCACTAGGACAACAGGAACTGCTTTAAGTCCAGGGTAGAGGAGAATCAAAATGTAAAGACACATTCTTTACCTGCGCCTCAACCAGATTCTTGCTATACAGATTCCTGTCTGACCTCACAGCTTCATACAGGTTCTGTTGCTGCTTTAATTTAGTCTCTGATTCAGCTATTTTTTTCCTGTAGTCGAAAATCTGCATTTCACGGACTTTTATGTCTTCCATGTTCATGAGGACCTGGAAGAGAAAGAAGTGTTTGAATATGGTTAAATAGCCCATCTGTGCTTCTGGGCCTGGGACAAATGGAGTTTTGGGTTTTTTGGGGGTTTTTTTTTGTTTGTTTATTTGTTTTTTTTAATCTAAGGGTGCATGGCAGAGATGCCAGCTATCAAAAAATCTGACTAGGACTATAATCACCACAGTATCACACAGAAATCCAGCCTCTCTGATTAGAGGCAAACACATATTTTTATCTAGGCTGCAGTACACTCAATTATAAAGGCTTAACAGTTATTTCATGATCACAAGAAAAAGGAGAAAAAAAAGAAATTCTTTTTTTTTTGTCACTGCATTTATTTAACAAGTATTTGAGAACCTTGTAGAATTCTTTCAATTCTGAAAATGTCTCCTGACCAATCCACCCATGAAAGGAAAAAAAAAAAAAAAACACAAGCTTAAATAGATTTTAGCATAAAGTCTTAAGAAAGATGAGAGATGATTTAGCCGTTTGGCCACACTGGCTGATTTATCAAGTTAATGAGAGTAAAAAGGTGGCCTTTGACACTTGACAGCAATCATAACTCTGTCTTGCCAATGTCAAGTCCATTCCATCAGGGAAGAACAAAGAACCTGCCTAGCAAGTGCAAAGCCCTGAGTTCAAACCCCAGTACTGCCAAAACTAAAATTAGCCAGGTGCCGGTGGCTCAAGCCTATAATCCTAGCTATTTAGGAGGCTGAGATTGAAAGGATCAAGGTGCAAAGCCAGACTGTGCAAACAGTTCACAAAACCCCATCTCCAAAATAACCCAGAGCAAAATGGACTAGAAGTGTGGCTTAAGTGGTAGAGTACTTGCTTTAAAAGCGTGAAGCCCTGAGTTCAAATCCGAATCCCACCAAAAAAAAAGGGAGGGGGACTGAAGTGTAGCTCAGGTGTTAGAGAGCTTGCGTAACAAGAACAAGGGCTTGCAGGCAATCTCTGGTACTACAAAAAAAAAAAAAATCAACCTACTGAGCATACAGCACTTCTGGGAAGGATAGGAGACCACCTCCTTTTTGCAAGGTTGAAAAGTCAGGGCCTGAAATGCCAGCGTGAGCCAATTCCTCTCCACAAGCACTTCATAATGTAGGAAACATGTAATCATGCCTCTTTGATGCAATGCCCAAAGAAACTGACTTTTTTAAGAAAAACATCTTTAAAAATTCCTTAAGAAAAATTTTAGGAAAGAAAACATTAAATCAATTAAACTACAGTGTGAATAATAGGTGAATTTCTCTTAACCAATGGTTACAATTGAAGGAAACAGAGCAGTGTGACAGAGAAAGAAGTGATGGGGACACACTTGAAGTAACATGACCTGAAAGGTTCCTCTAAGGAAGTAACATCTTTCTCTGGGATCTAAAGGTAGAAAAGACCCTCAGCCTTTGCCACACTGCAGGCTGTTGGAACCAACATGTTCCCAAATTATTGCACTACAAGAATCTTTTTTTTCCATTTGTGGAATTAATACTTCAGGAAATACACTCTGATAAGCCTTGCTCTAGTGTTGCCCATCAGACCTAATGATGGCTGTTGTTGATGATACTTTTGAACATCTTTACATAGGCACCTTTCAAAGGTTTCTTACAGACATGTAAGGAGAGATGGGATTCAAGTTTAGCAAACATCTTGCAACATATATTATTCTGTGCAATTTTTTCTTATGGGATCAATTGATTTCATCTATTTAGCAATAAAATTTTTGTTTTAAAAATCTCTTAGTTCTTTATATACAATCCCACATCCCATCATTTAAAACAAATTTATAAATATGAAGTGATGCTTCTTTTCCTGATTTACTTGGATCTTCCTTCTCCCTTCAACCCACAGCAGCCCCTCTGTCCATTTGTAGCGTAATTAGGTTAAAAATCTGATATATGCCCTTCCCTACTTTTGTTTGCATTTTGTGTATTCTATTCAGGTCTACAAACATAGTAATAATAGCTCATATTTGTCAGTTACTTTCTCTGTACCTGGCATCTTTCATGGGTTAACTCATTTAATCATCACACAAATCCTACAAGGTGTAATCACCCCAATTTTACAAAGAAGGAAACTGAGATCAAAAAAAATAATATTCACAAAGTGATTCAACTAGCAAGCACACAGCTCCAGGAATTCAGTTTCCTTTTTGTTTTTGTTTCCTGGGGGGGGCTTTGTTTTTATTTTTAGGCAAATAGGATGTAATTATACATACTTTTGGGTACTTTGCTTCTTATCACTCAATAGTGCTTTGGAGAAACCATCTGAAATAGCTCTCACTCGTTCTCCTTAAGGACTGCACACCACCCTACAGTGGAGTGTGCCTCCACATAGTCAACTGTCTCCACCAGCATTTTTTCCTCCATTTTTGCCACCCTACGTCCTACTGCATTTTGTGCATGCATTCTCATACACTTGTGCTTGCTTCTGTGGGGTAGATTTCCAGGAGTGAACTAACTGACTCAAAAGACATACATATTTTTCACTTTAATAGATATTGCTAGATTGCTTTCCAAAATGGATGTAACATTTTACATTTCCACACTGCCTGCAATACTTTTCTTAATAGAAAACTGTATTTGCAGTTTCAGGATAAACCTTCTTTGGTCAGACTAGATGATTCTTTTTAATGTAGTGTTAAATTTAGTCTGCTGGAATTTCATTTAGGACTCTGCATATGTGTTCTGAAGTGATAGAAGCCTACATCTTTCCTTTTAGTTCTAGTTCAATATCTAGGCTTCTGCTAGGTACGTAAAGTACATGAAGTGCCTTTCTGCTCACTCTTTGTTCCCTTACCCACGTGTTCATTCACCCAATGAGCATGTGCTGAGGACCTGTCTATGCGGGCACTATAAAAGCGCAATTGTCATTAGGAGGAATAAAACACATCCCCTGACATCAAGCTGACCTCTCGTGAGTGGGCCCACCCTAAAACAGGCAACCAACCAATGGATATAACCAGTATCTGAGATAGGCACAGGGCATTATGGGAGAATCAAAGACTAGATTAGTTTCTGAGAACGGACCTACACGACTTATCCAAACAGTTAACATTAGAGGCTTATACAAGTTGTGAGAACTGCCTCTTCATTCTTAACCCCCCAAGGCCTCACCTTCCACATTATCACTACATTATCACTGTAGAAGCAACGAGTTACATCAGCAAAGCAATGCTTATCAGTATTACCCCAAATTATACAAAGTGAATGAGAGGTAGTTTTTCTAAATTCAACTAAAAATTGTATAGCTATAATTATATAGCATGAAAAGTCTTCTGACTCTCAAAAGTTTGAGGGAACTTGACTCTAAAGTCATCAACCCTCCGTCAGTGTTAGAGACAATTCTGTCCACGTTTTCTGTGGCTTCCATAGGTGTTGATCTTTCTAAGTTTTCTACTTCTTCAGTCAAACTTTGATTTACATACTCTCAACTATTTTTCTTTTTTATTATATTTTTGAATTGGCATACAATAATAATACGAGAGTATTTCATTGTGATAATTCTATACAAGTGTAAAGTGTACTTTGAACAAGTTCACCCCCCCATTAGATTCCCATTATTGTTCAAACAGTATTTGGGGGGTTTCTTCACACACACACACACACAAATTCTTATGCATATGTGTGTGTGCTTCCATCTTCTTCACCCCTCAGTATCCTTTCCTCTCCCACTCCTCTCTCTTGCTGATTCCCCCAGACCTTCCTCCTTTCACATTTATGTCCCATTGTCGTCATCATCACCACCATCATCACATCATCATTTTAGGCCTAGGCTCCATAAATGAGCAAGACATGCTGTATTTGGTTTTTTGAGCATGGCTTATCTCATTCAACATGATGATCCATCCATTTACCTGCAAAAGACCTAATTTCACTTTTCTTTGTGGCTGAGCAATATTCCATGGCGCATATATAGTATAATGTATAATACTTTCTTTTACCCACTCATTGGTTGTGAGACACCTTGACTGATTCCACCATTAAGCTATTGTGAATAGAGCAGCAATAGACATGGGTGTGCAGGGATCTCTCTTATATATTGATTTATACTCTTCAGATATATGTCCAAGAGGGCTGAAGCAGGGTCATAAGGTAGGTCTACTTTTAGCCTTTTGAGGACCTGCATACTGCTTTTGATAGTGGTTGCACTGGTTGCACAACAGTGTGTGGAAGTTCCTTTTCCCCCACATTCCCCCCACAGCGTGCTGTAGTTCTCTTGATGATTGCCATTCTGACTGGGGGGAGACAGAATCTTTGCATTTCTTTTATGGCTAAGGCTACTGAACACTTCTTCATGTATCTATTAGTTATTTGTATTTCATTTTCTTCGAACAGTATGTTCAGTTATTTTGCCCATTTATTAATTGGATTGCTTGTTCTTTTGCTGTTTAAATTTTTGAGCTCTTAGTATATCGTGGATACTAATCCCTTATCAGTTGAATAGCTGATGAAGATTTTTCTCCCATTCTGTGGATTATCTTTGATTCTGGTAATTGTCTTTTAAGGTGCAGAAACTTTTTAATCTGATGTGGTCCAATTGCTAATCCTTGCTCTTATTTCCTGGGCAATTGGACTCCTATCCAGAAAAATCCAGATTTTCCCTATTTTTTCTGTACTAGTTTCAAAGTTTCAGGTCTAACATTAAGATCTTTGATTCATTTGGAGTTTGTTTTTGTACAAGGTGAGAGATAGGGGTCTAGTTCCAGTCCTCATAGATAACTAGTTTTCCCAGCATCAGTTTATTCCAACTAATCTTTAGATCTTTATAATTAATGTTATACAAGGTATTTTTAGGCTTTTGCTGCCATTGTGTTTTATTATCATTAATTGCTATTATCCATTTGGTGTAGAATGAAAATGACCAAGGTAAGAATATATACAAACTCAGTGGTGAATGGCTTAAATGGTTGGTTGGGACCAGAAGGAAAAAGATTAGAAAATCAAAGACAAGGAGGTCTGGGGAAAAGGCATGTGAATGGATCTGAAATTCAAAGAAATAC